CGACCATGGCCGTCTCCTATGGAAGAAAGACATCGTACGACAGAAACATTTTTTAAATTAGTTTCGGACCTGAGAAAACTGAGATATATTTCTGGATGCGTTTGAGAAATCTTTCCCAAACACGATGCTGCATCGACTATACAACGAGACAATAGGCTAGCACCATTCTATGGATATCGAGTTTACATCATTCGCTCGCTATTGAGTTCAAGTTTTTCGATGTTTCTCATCAAGCAACGAGGAAGTTCCTACCCCGAATATGTCCATTTCCAGAGCTCTCAATATGGCGCCATCAGTAATACCATCTACATGCGACCATCGCATGTGGTCTTCCAACACCTTGAAGGGACTCCTTTCGATATATGGTTTTTACAATTGAATTCATGGGTCGCTATGCTCGGGTGTTTTTTTTTTTTTTCGTTCGCTGGCAGAAGTGTACCATCGTGGTGTAGAATCACGAACAAAAGCATGAAGTATCATATACAAACTTGAAAAGCTCTCAAACACTTCCCTAGTCTCAAATCGTGGTCCACTTCGTCCGTTAATCACAACCTGAACGGTCCTGACTCAGAGCCTATTGCCTAACTGCAGCGCATATCTTTCTGGCTTAGATTAAGAGTTCCTATCAACACAACCGTTGTCATTGAAAAAGTATAAAACTATTCAACCCTCAAAATATGTTCGGTTGCGGCCATACTAGAGAGAAAACACTGTTCTCCAAAAAGATAACAAATTGATGTTATCCGATAGTAAACACCTGTTTTTGTTTCGCTTTGTCTTGTTTTGGTACCTCACAATTCTTGCACATCTGGCTAGCCATGCTGATCTTTAATTATTTCCATTGTTATTACCTCCGGCTTTACCAAGGAGGTGTTATCCAATTCATCCTTCTTTCGTCACCTTAGAGACTCGATATGTTGTCACGTGCCAAGACTCGTGTTCAGTAGCAGGCCACTTTATTGCCTCATATACTACCACATCTTCATGTGAGGAATTTACTGCACAAACTTTCGTACGCGTGACTGATAGTGCCAGTGTCGCCAAAGTTCCCAATCTGTTTCAAAAACGTACCTTCCTGGCCATATAATGGCACAAGCTCGCGGTGTTCATGGTGTCTATCCGGTCAACCTGCCAAAAATTTTGGAAAGTATCTTTTTTAGCGCGAGTTCATCAATTCTGATTATCCTTTTTTTTTGGAAACCATAGGGCCTCGGCTTACTCTGCCATGATTTTTATTTTCTTTTGCGCTTTGTCTCAAGGATGGTGAGCATTTTGAGAAGCGAATCATGTTGACAAGTACTCTTCTAATATTGGAAGAATGAGCAATTTATCGAGCCTGCGAAATTACAAACGTGGCTTTCAGCCATAACGAACTAGCATGTTACTTCTGTGTTTTCTTTCAGTGACCGGAGAACTAATCATTTCGCTACAAGTCAGATATTTTTTGAGAAATATTAAACATGTGTAAAAGTTGACCTTTACAGTAAGAACAGAAACCTTTGCAATTACAAAACGAGGTTTGTATTTCTGCCATCTTGCTGATTCTCTCATTTTTCCGCCTTCTTCGAAACTTTCCCTGAAATCAAGAGCATTGCGCAGAGTACCGGTGATTAATTGGCGAGTGGATTAATACTATGAAGTCTGCTGCAACCCCGGATCCTTTGAGAACCATCATCTCACGCAGTGACAAAGGTCAATTCCTGCACTGCCAAATTCAAGCATGATACTTTTCATGAAGGTTCTGACAAGCATACAACTAATGTGGTGTGTGCACGTGACATCGAAATGCTATATTCTCTGCTCAATGCTGCCTTCAATATCGCGGCATGGCGCACGCGGACGGCAGAGGCTCCATTCATCATAGTCCACTCTTCTTAATAAGGCCCGTTTCAGCCCGTTTGTATTTGACAGCTTGCCATACAACTCTCGCTTCTTCAAATCATCAAGTTTATGTACCCTTGCCACTAGAATCTCGTTTGTCGTATACTTGAAACATGGCACTCCTCATAGACAAGCATGCGAAATATTTCCAACTATGTCTTCATTCCCTTCCCCTGAAAGCACAGACGGAGGACTCCAATAAATTGGCACTCATCTACTTTTCTCTTCACGGGCTTTCGCTCATGGGAAAACTTGAGAAGTCCAGCGAAACACCCGAACATATCCAGTACATATATGAGCACATGATCCCACTCAAAGATGACACGATCCAGGCATTCAGGCCCAGTCAAACTTTTGCTCTTGCGCCCGAAAATAACGAGTACGACCTCCCGAATCTTTCTGCAACGTTTTTCGCCTTGGTTATTTTTTTGGTTTTGGAAGAGGACTTCCTGAAAAAAATCGACCGGCATAAAATCATGGCATTTGTCTCGCAGTGCCAGCTCAAAGCTGGACCCCACGCGGGCTCCTTTCTGCCTGTTTTGGGTCCGCAGGGCACTACGTTTGGTGAATCTGACTTGCGCCTCTGCTATATTGCTGCTTCCATACGAAAAATCTTGGGATACGACAAGCTTTCTGTCGCAGAGAGACAGAACGACATTGACGTGGAGAGCATGCGCAGGTTCATACTAGACAAGGTCAATTTCAATGGCGGATTGGCCTCGTATTCACATACAGAGTCGCACTCAGGCCTCACATTTTGTGGCATAGCGGCACTCAAACTCATTGGCCATGAGTTTCTGCACCACGATTCGTGGACACAGCTCACCGTGGAGTGGTTGGTCCACCGGCAGGTGGACTTTCCGGCTGACTTGTATAAAGAAGAGTACGACTTCTATTGCGAAGGAGACACTGGTGGCTTCAACGGCCGTGAAAACAAGTTTGGCGACACCTGCTACTCATGGTGGGTGATGGCGCTGTTGCTGCTCATTGACAAGTCGCATATCCAACTCATAGACGAACGGAAGGCTTGCGATTATCTTCTCCAGGAGACGCAGCACAAGTTGATGGGCGGGTTTGGGAAAGACGCACAAGCGTTCCCCGACCCTTTCCATTCGTTTCTTGCGCTTGCGAGTTTGACTTTGGTCAAGGATAGCTTTGTCGACTTGCAAATCGAGGGGTTTGAGAGCCTAGACAAAATCGACCCGGAGTTGGTGATAACTAACAAGTCAAGGATGTTCATGGAGACTCTCTGGTAGGGACTGACTTGGTAGACCTTCAAAGGCAGCATACCGGACTTGGGGGTAGAGGAAGACACCTGCCTCGACCCGTTGGTAACTGTTGCATTTATTTCGAAAGACAGTTTGGTGATCGGTAGCGGATCAGAAATGTTTTACGTGTCAGGATAAATTGTAATGCGGAAATTAGTTGTAGGCGTGGTGTTGCGAGTTTGTCTACGAAAAGGTGGTGAGAATCTACATCGTGCCGTAAGAGAAGCAGGCGCTTTTTGGCAGGTTCAGGCGACAAGGCCAAGGCAGGCATTCATGACGGCTTTGGTGGGCCGAGGAAAATCCAGGTGTCGTCAGGTGTTGTCGGGGTGGAACCCGAGGAATATCATAAGGAGTATCACAAGGATTATCACGAAGAGTATCGAAGAGTATCACAGCGAGTATTCCCGAAAACATTAGATGTATTCCCGAAAACACCCGGAGACGTGCATAAGATGTATCGCACAAGTCACGTACCATGATCTTCGAATCGCGGCCGGTCACAAATCTCGTGCATGGCCCGCCAAGGTCTCGTTCAATGTTCAGAAGCCACGAAGCGACTTTTTGACGAAAATCCGGCAAGAGATCGCGAGTAACAGGACAATGGACGAAGCGAGTCGAGATTGCGGTTTGTTCCTCGAACGGGTTTGAGAATTACGTGACGGATGCGCTCTTCTAGACATATTTTATTTCCGTCTCCTTATGGAAGGTGGTGTGACTAGAATGCGGCTACTCTGACAACGCGACTGGGGCGACTAAGAAATGGGGCCCAGAGTCAGTCGAGTATGGTGCCCAAAATAGCAAACAAGGGATCAATGAAACAGAGTCACACTAGCACAGGACCGGAAGCAGATTTCAATTGCGATTTCTCTTTGGCTCTTTCGAGATTTGAAGAGGTGGAATTTGCCTATTAATGCTCTCTGGTATTTCTTGGGCATGCTCAATTTGCTCGCACTAATAAGAATGATGCGTGTTCATCGATCTGTTCCATGAAGACTTTCAGAGACGGATAAGGGGTGTATTTACTGCTTTTTTCCCATGGAGGTCAGAAAGCCAAGGGGGTTCTCATGGAAATTAGAGGCCTCTTTATCTAAGGGGACGGGACGTATTCCAAGCAGGTTATATGCGTAGAAAACCGAAAGTGATGGTGCGTTCCAGCCTCGAGCTCGCGACAATTCATAGTGGCTCGAGGTGCGAATGGGATAATATTGTTCACATTATACATGGCCACCATTAACCATTGAACATGGCCAGCATTAAGCAAGTCCTCCTTTAAATATGTTCTCCTTTAGACATGTCCTCCTCTTAGAATGTCCTCCTCTTAACATGTCCGCCATTAAACACGTCCTCCATTAATTCTGCCCCCATTAATTCTGCCCCCATTAATTCTGCCCCCAAATTCTGCCCCCATTAAACATGCCCAGCACTAACCATAAAAAACCATGCCGCCACTGGAACCAGACGCCGCAGGGCATGGCCGCAGAACGGCCAGAATCACAGGTTCGCAGTGGCTCGGGCATGGTCCATCCTGGACGTCGTCCTCGTATCAAGGCGCTCTCATCAGCCCGCCTACAGCGATGCGCGAGCCGCAGGCCCAACAGGCAAGATGGCCCGACCAGAGCACGCAGGCGACAACAAAAAGGCAAATGTAAAACAAAAACAAACCAGACAAAACCAGACAAAACCAGACAAAACCAGACAAAACCAGACAAAACCAGACAAAACCAGACAAAACCAGACAAAACCAGACAAAACCAGACAAAACCAGAC